ATTTATGTCCAGATTAAAAATTAATAGGTTTGCATTTATCAAACTGCATGCTCATTAATTTTATTCTGTAGCATTGCCCACTGATCTTATGAATAATGCCTGTGTAGCAGCAGCCCTGTGATTATCATCTTTTTCTCTGCACTATGCTTTTCTTTGTAAATTCTTGCAAGATATGAAATCCATTGCAATTCTCAGATTGTTCTTCAAGCACCCATTGTTTCCTTTTGTTGCTGTATTTGTTTCATTATAGGAAGTTCCTTGTATTCTATTGATTAAATTTATCTCTGAGAGCTACAGAGTTCCTACTGCAAGTTTCTTTTCTAATATTTTTTATACGTTTTATTTCAGTGTTATGAGGACATTTTTGATTCACCAGTCTGGACTGTGTAATTGTTTCCGTGCAAACTCCATCTCTTTCAACTTTTTTCTAGTCTTTTTATTCAAACATTTTGGCCAGGCTTCCAGACAGAAAGCAGTTCTCTGTCAACACACATCCTTTTAAAACATTAAGACTCCTTTTACATCCAGAGATAATTCATCATTTTTCCTGGCCTTTATGTTCCTGTCACTCACATACTTCACTTTTGCAGAGGTTGATACTTCTTATATTTCCACTATAGAGTTTTATAACTCATTTTCCCTGCTTTAGTCAACTGGAAATTATAAAACAGTAGGTGTTTCAAAACACCTGTTATCCTTAGGAGGGAGTGGGTGATAGAGCCATACATCATGCTGAGGGTGGATGGACTTCAGCACTGTGTGACAGACACTCAGAATGAGAGGAAGAAGAGAGAATGAAGGGAATGAAGGAAGCTGGAAGTATGTATTGTATGAGGGGATGTGGGTTCTGTCACTCTTGAGAAATAAAGGGAATTGACATGCAGAATGGAGTGGAAGAGGATCAGGATGAGGGGCAGTTGTTTCTGGAGGGTGATACATGTTTTCTCTGCTGTGCTCAACCCACACTGAACTAAATCATTGTCACTGTGAACTAAGAACCATACTATGAACCTGAGAGTCAGTACTAAGAGTGATTGCCATCGCTAACCCAGAAACCAAGGAATCTATTCCTTTTATAAAGCAGAACTGATCAGGTCCCAGGTTTGTTGTTTTTCTGCCCTAAGATCCAGTGCCTGAGATTTAACTGCATTTTGATTCAGTGAATCCATCAGGCTTTCGATGCTCATCACCTTCCACTGCGATTCATTTCATGTCTACATGAGTAAGCTTAAGCAGTTCTCATTTCTGTGCTTGGGCTGTGGGGGAACAACTCATCTGCTGGGTGGACACTGACCAAGGCTGTGCAAGCTGAACAGGGTCTAGAAAACTGCTGGACATGATGCAGGAAACTGTAGAATGTAAAAAGCTATGAGAGTCTGCCAAAAGTTACAGACAGCACCGTGGGGAATACCTGAACCTCAGAGGTGATTAAGGCAGAGTTATATGAGAAACAGCCAAAGTCCACAAGTAATTGCACTGGTGCATTAGAGGCCACCAGGGCCTTGGAAGGCCATTAGCACCCAGATAGCCTGGTAAGGAACACCATGAAAAATAGATTAATGATGATCTCACTTATTCTGCCTTAATGGGTCAGGTGCTGGAAAGTCTCATAATCCATTTCAGTCCTTACCAGCCCTACACGGGGTGTTATTCATTAGTGTTTTTGTTTGACTCAGAAGCATAATTTAGAGGAGAGCCTCCTGATCATTCCCAATTCCCATTATTTAAAGTGAGCAGAGCTCACAGGGTTTTAACTGGATTCCTCTCCTATGAAACTAAATCAAGGTTGGGCTCCAGAAAGGCTCTCTGGCTTCTAAGGGGAACTCAGTTATTGCAACCAGAGTACAACTAGCAGGAGGCAAAACCCACTGCTGTGGGCAGTACTGCCATCCTAAACAGAAGCAGTGTGGATACTGGGTCCATGGTACTGGGATACTGGGACCATTTTGGGATGTGCTGCTTGCTAATGAAGATCTGCAAAGGTGTTGTCCTTCTCCCTGTGCTCCTGGGAGGGCCTGTTCATCTGTAGTGCCCTTGGAAAGCTGTGTTAGCTGCCAGTAGGTACCACCTGCCACACCAGCGAGTGTCTCCCCAACACTGTGAGCCACGTCTGTTGTTTGCTTGTTACATGCCTGGTACCCCACATAAGATTAAATGTAAGGCTACATTCAGTCCCCAAATACTCAGCCATAATCACTGGCTTTGGGAAGGAGAGCTTGGTGCAGTGCTCACATGGTCTGTGAGTTCTCATTCATTCATAGTTTTCCTTAATCAAGTTTCTTTGTCTCTCTACATACACTTGCAATAAAAGGAGCATTATTTTGACATTTTACCCTCTTACGGGAAGAGATACCATGTGAAAATTCAGTCTTTAACCCCATGTGTTCGACAAGAAGAAACCTCATTAAGTATCCTCACGAAGAAGTGTGTAATATCTCAGAACCTCAGCCTGTGGTTTCCAACAGCTTTAAAAATAAGCTCCAAGTAGTGACAGAAAGCATGTGCTGAACTGGAGAGGCAGGTTAGAAAATGATGTGTTTTAAGAAAACCTGAGTTGGTTTGGAAACTAAAAGAGAAACATAATTACCATTGTTACCACTGAAGAGGCATATTCCAGGTATGCATTATAAAATCATCTTGCTGATGTCTTAGCTGTACAGAATCCTCATCAAAACGATGAGCAAAAATATTATTCATTTGCTTTTTCTACATCTGAAAAAAAAGGTCCAATTTCTAAATTCTAAGTTTCTTGGTAGTCTGTTCCTGAAAGATAACTTTTGGGGCTTTCTGGCATTTGTTGGTTTTTTGTTGGATTTTTTTTCCCTCAGAATCTTAAAAAAGCAATAGGGAAGAAACCTCCAGCAATCACTAGGGTGCACCTTTATAACTATTAAAACTTAATTTTACTGAAAACTTCATACCAGATTTTTCTAGACGTAATCAAATGTGTGATTATTTTTCCAGAAAACTGGAAGCATCTCATGATAGATTTTTATATTATGCTGTGGTTCTTATGGAAATTTCGGTGAGATTTCAGTGATAAGCTAAAATGCCAAAGATAATGGAACTGTAAAAATAAAAATACTGAGACAATTATATCTCATAATAATTTTTCTAGTTTCAGTTGCAAACAAATATGTCAAATTTAAAACATGAAACTATAATAGTAGTTCACATTTATTGAGTTAATGATTTTATCATAATGTCCAAATGTTGACTTAGCATGGAGCCTGATCTCGGGCTCTAGAGCTGCAGGACGTAGCCTTTGTGTATTCTCTGGAAAATCAAAAAGTCCTTGAGGCTGGATCTTCTAACATAGATAAAAAGAACTGAATACTTACTGTTAGGAGCATAGCATTTTGCAAATGGTTTTGGTAGCAAGCAATGGTGTAAAAGATTCAATACTAAAATAAGTGAAGTTAATGCAGAATTAAATAAGCTTAATCAGTAATAATTGCAGTCTGTTGTTACAGTTTTTATATCTTTACTACATGTTCACATGTAGTAAAGATATATTTTAGTATATACTAAAAAGGTGTAACCTTTTCACCATTTTCAAGCAAATTAGTTTACTTATTTTTCTGTGATAATGTTTTTTGTTTATATATATTTTCTTTTAAATTACATTTCTCAAAATATTTTTGAAGACTGAGACTTCTGCTCATCAGTTCTTTAGCATTACTTATGTCTATCTTGTGTAGCAATGGATTGGATTTTTCATTGTGTTGTCATAGCCAGTGCCATTAACATGATCACTATTCTATGTCTCTGATTTTTATAGAGCAGTAGCTACTACGAATCTGTTTTGCAATTTACATTTGCTATCTCAAAACGTTGTGTAAGAAAGTGGATTGACATTTCAGAACATTACTCTAACATGAAGTAGGATTATTAGGCTTATTTTATAGCTAGAAAATTGGGACCCAAAGATGGTTGAGCTATATCTAGGTGTGGTGATTCACCAGCTGAGCTGCACACCACATTGCATAGGTACCCTGAATTGGGACTGGGGCTGAAGCTCATTCATCACTGAGTACTGAGAGTAGCTCAGATGCTCTCGGCATAAAAAGCACATGGATCTGTCAGAGCAGCTCCAGAGCAGGGCCATGAGGATGGCCAGTGCTGGAGCCCTTCTGCTATGGAGAGAATTTGGGTTACTCAGCCTGGAGAAGAGAAGGCTCAGGGTAAATTTATGGCACCTTTCAAGTACAGAAAGAGGCCAAGAAAGCTGGAGAGGGACTTTGCAAAAAGGTGCATAGTGAGGGGACAAGGGGTAGTGGCTTTAAACTGAATGAGAGTAGGTTTTATATTAAACATTAGGAAAAGTTTCTTCACTATGAGTATGGTGAGATACTGGAGCAGTTTGACCAACGAAGTTGTGGATGCCCCATTCCTGGGAGTGTTGAAGGCTAGGTTGGATGGGACCCTGAGCAACCTGATTTAGTGGAAGGTGTCTGTTCCTGGCAGGGGCACTGGAACTACATAGTCTTTAGTAATTCACACCCTTCACATCCAAACTATCCTGTGATTCTGTGTCTCAAATAAAAGTCCTAGGGCATATTTTTCTTTGGTGGTACTAAAATGTACAGGCTGCAGACATTTGTTGAAGAACCTAAAGAGTTTACTAAACAATAGTGTTCCAAAATGGTTAAATCATCTTTATTTTATGGGTTTTTTGTTGTTAAGAGCTAAGATTCAGACAGATGAATGCAGCTTTTCCATTATGGATTTAATATGTCACTTCTTCCTTCTGGTGTATTTAGCATTTTTTCACTGTGCTGATTAAAATCTGATTTAGATGATAATTATGCTGGTTTTATCATTCAAACACTCAAAATTGATTTTTAAATCTTTAGGTGGCTTGAACTAGACTTTTATTTCTTACCAGATTTAAAAGTCTGCTTACAGTATGTCCTTCTGTCATGTTGTCTGTGAATGCTAAATCACTGCAAAATTAGTAGATTTCCAGTTTTAAAACCAAATCCATCCTTTCTTCATAGGAGGAAGAACTAAGGAAAAGTGGAGAGGCCAAATACGCACACTTGAGTGATGAGCTCCATGTATTAATTGAAGTGTTTGCTCCACCTGGGGAGGCGTATTCTCGTATGAGTCATGCCTTGGAAGAAATAAAAAAATTCCTGGTTCCTGTAAGTCACTTATAACATTCTTCTTGATAGCTTATGGTTTTGTTGCATTGAGTTTGTTCCTTTTTTTAGACTAAGGAAAAAACACCTTCACTGCATTCTGCTGAACTTTTGTCTTTCATCCTTTTGTCACAGGGAGATGCCAAACAGGCCATTAAGTGTCACAGTTGATGCCCTGATATTTTTTTCTAGCTGTCTTATTATTTCCATTTATCAATGTTTTTTGCTTTCCTTTCTTCTTTTGTGGAGGAACTGGTAGATTAGTTTTGTTTTCTGATTGCAGACATTAGTCATTTGTATGAGAGTGCACTTTCAGGATTTTTGAATATTTAAGTCTGTAAAATCATTTTATTACATGTAACAATTTACCTAAATATCTTGCTAATGAAGTTAATGAATTTCTTGTGCAGCAAACAGGATGAGCAAAACATTCCTAAGACATTTCTGTTCACCTTATGACTCAAACCACAGTTTGGCAATCTTCCATCATCTAGGAGAGTCCAGAAATGTATCTAAAGCTGTGAACTTTTTCAATTTGATTTATACTAAATTTATCACTTTCTGAAATATTTACCTTCATGTCTATTGATTTTCCTCAAATTCTCTAAAAATTATTTTTTCCACATTAATAAATGCATTCCATGCTATTTTCATACTTAAATTTGTCTTAGCATTGAAGCATAAGCATACTAAATATTAAGTGAAGTAGAATTACATGAGTTGTTTTCTGAGATCTGTCCTGAGAGTTCTTAGTGCTCTAAAAATGTTCAGAACTTACATTCCTTAAAAAGAATATGATGAAAGCTTGTTTCTATTTTTGATTGAAAAAATGATGTGTAAGTTCAGGTCTCTTGATAATAATGGAGGAATTCAAAGAGTGCCTGTTTTAATGAGTAATAGGAAGCCAAGATAAGAGATGTTCAGGTGAGGCATATGAATACTTGCATGGCAGAATTTCGATGCCTTTTTTGCTGTAGGCTTCTTGGTGCAGGAAAAGGGGAACATGTTACAAGTAAAATATTGAAGTAGACTATTTAAATGTTAAATTTTTAAGAGCAAATACACATTTTTTAAAGAACACTATGTCGCTTAAGATTGTTAAAAATAAATATCTGGATATTTCTTTTAAAAAAAAAAGTTTGCTGGCATCAAGTGCCCAGAAATGAGCTACATTTAAATAAGTTGAATTTGTCTTTCTGATTTTTCCTTCCGATTTCCTTATGCTTCCAGTTTGGGAACACTAGTAATAAAATACCATTTAGAATTCTTTGAAATAACTGTAAGACAAGAAAACATTTTCACGATTTCTGAGTTTATGTTGAACGTAAAACACAAGGGACAAATTAGGTCAATATTGTAATGCTGGCAGCATGTCTTGGAATGACATTTTGGCTGCAAGCTAATGGTGAAGATCTGCCAAGCCATTACACTGGAAAAAGATTTATCATTAAGTAACATATTCCTGAAAAGTCTGGCATGTTATAGCTTAAAATTATAACAGCGCCAATTACAAAATTTACCCACCTTTGTCATTTGGATAATGCTATTTCCAGTTGTTCATGACTTTCCAAAACTTCAGATTGTTTCTGTGAAAGGTTTCTGTTTAAAGTTACCTTCTTCTGTCCTTTTCATTCTGGAAAAGAGATCCTGCATTCTAGCATGGTGCAATGAAAATGGCATCTGGAATTTTAACATCCATCATGTGTTCTGTTCAGCATGGGTGAATAAGAGAGACAGAACTGTGTGTTTTCAGAGTGCTATTAAAATCTGTTGTAATATTCAGCATCTGTACAAGCATATATTGTGGATGGCACTTTATTTATTTGGAAGGATTATATTTGTTTTCCAGCACAAGTATAATAGCTACAATGGAGGAAATATAAAAACAGGTTCTTTATTACGAGATTTTGAACATGGTTGACAGTGGCAGGAATAGACCCTGTCATAGAAGGCCACCATTTTGTCAGGCGTGATTTGCCCTTAGTGAAGCATTCATCACTATTCATCTCCCCATTTCACATGTATCTTTGCAAAATTTCCAGGAGGATTTGTTTCCATGATCTTTCTGACCTGAGCTGAGGCTGAAAGAGGTCAGTTTCCTGTAGTTTCCTGCATCTTCCTTATTTCTCTTTTTTAAGTGGGGGTTCCTTTTCCTCTTTTCCAGTCAGTGGGAGCTTCAGTGGACTGACATGACTCCTCACATACGATGGGCAGTGGCTTAGCCCTTCCTCAGCCCGTTCCCTCAGCACGAGCAGGTGCAGCTCACCAGGTCCCCTGGACTTGTGCACCTTCGTGTCCCTTAGATATTCTCCAGCCTGATCCTCTCCTGTAGTGGGCAATTCCTCATTCCCCCAGTCCCCACCTTTGCCTTCTGTGACCTGGGCAATGTGGCTGGAGCACTTGTCTGTGAAGACCAAGGCAAGAAAGTGATTGATGACCTCAACCTTCTCCCTGTCCTGGGTAGCAAAGCCTCCCAGTTTGCTCCAGAGAGGGTCCACATTTTCCCTAGTCTTCCCTTTATCACTGATGTACTTTTCCTGTTGCCCTGGCCAATTTTAATTCTGTCAGGGCTTCTGTGAGCTTTCCTAACAAGATACCTGGATGCTTGAGCAATTTCTGCACTCCTTCCAGGCTGCCTGTTCCTGCACCCACCCTCTGCTGGCTTTCTTTTTGAGTTTATCCAGGAGCTCCCTGTTCATCCATATAAGCCTCCTGTCATTTTTGCCTGACTTTCTCTTCAGTGTGATGCTCATTCCTGGGCTTGGCAGAGGTGATCCTTGAACATTAACCAGCCTTTTTGTACCCCTCTTCCCTCCAAGGAATCATAATCACTCCAAACAACTAAAAATTGTACTTTATGACTTGTTTATTAGTTTTATCCCCTCTGCTTCGTTTCACATTTACAAAGCAATTATTAACTGACTGGCTGTAACATGTTTCAAGGGTTTTTCACTCAGAAAGATTGCACTAGATAATTTCCTTTTTGTTCCCTATTTGCAGCATCTCTTGAGTTTGTTTTATGATGTTTTGTTGTTTATAAGACTTAATTTATTGCAGCAATGAATATTGGGATTGCATGACAAGGATAAAACAGTAGAATAGAACAGTTTTATTTATACCAAATCAAGGATGCAATAAAGTATTCAAATGAGTTTTCACATTGCTTATGAATTTTCTGAAGATTACATGAAATATTGCCCTCAGAAATTAAACTTGATCATGTCAGTGAAATGGAATAATGTTTTTATACCTTCTTCAGAAGTTTTAATGAGACTGAATTTTAAGATAAATGCCCAGAAACCATAATAAGAGAAAAGTAGATAAATGTAGAGCAATATTGAGAAAAAAAAAGAACATTTATTAACTGAAGCAGTTTTCATGAACAACTACTTTTGATTTAAATGTGATTACTTCTTTTTTACCTTCAACCTCAATAACAGGTATCCATATTTTTAGTAAGGGAGATTTTGCCTCCAGGCCAGAGTTAGAAACTGCAGTCTGTCCCACAAGTTAACACATTCCATAGCTGCAGCTCGGTCTCAGTTGGTGCTTTGGGCTCCTTCCAGCAGGTGTTTCAGTGCATGACTGAATCCCAGTGTCTGCAGCTCTTGGCAGCTGCCCCGCTTCCAAAGCCAAGCTGCTTCCTTTGCTGTCTGCAGCTTCCATTTTGCAAATGGTTTGAGGTCTGTGTGGATGCTGCCAGCAGGACATTGCTAACTGGTTGATAAGATTTATTCTGTAAGTGACTGCTAGTTCTTTGGTAGGTTTTATGCAAAATTAAGTCTTTGTGGGGTGTCATATCCAATTACTAGCTAGATACTGTGCTCCATTTTGGGCTGATGTTTACTTACTATGAACATTTGCATATAATTGACATATGACAAATCAGAATAGCCATGATTAAGGAGGTAGGATTAATCTCAGAGTCTTGAAAAACAACTGTCTGCTCCAATATTTTTCTGTCAACCGAATAAAAATGAAATCAAGAATGTGTTTCCAAAGTCAAGGTTTTATATTAACAATCCCATTTGGAACTGATGCTAACATATTGGAAATTATCCAGTATTATCTATGTGGAAAATACAAACAATAGGGACACCTGGGAGGAGGACACGTTTTTTAGATTCACCTTTGTGGCCAACAGATTTGATAAAATCCATAGGTATCTGACAGCCAAGTACTTCTGATCCTGAACTGCCAGGGACCTGGGTCTGTGTGAGGAACCTAAGGCTGATGTAAGATCTCAGTGCCTCAGAATGGGATGCAGGGTCAGCAAACTAGAAGGGGAGACTGAGGAGCAGAGGGAGGGGAGGAGAGCCTAGAAGCTTTTCAAGCTTTAAAATCTGCTGGTTTTTAAAGGTTCATGGCTATTAAATGCAGTCAAGTTTTTTCACTCTTACTGACCAATGAAATTCTACATCACTCCTGTTATATAGAATTATATAATTTTGATTTAAATCCAAACATACAAATACATTTTCTGAACAAGCTCTTAATTGTTGTAAGGAGCTGTACTGTTTCTTAGGAGTTCTGTGCTTTCTAACACAGGCAAAATCTTTTTTCTGATTCACACTTTTATCCCTTTAAGCAAAGCATTTTTATTTGACATGGTTAGCATCCCTTGGGAGAATGAGAGAAGCAGATACTGATCATTCATTTTACGTGTGAGTGCTCTGTAATAGGGAGCTATTATGTAGAGGGCAGATTGCAGCTGCGGTGACATGACCACTCTAAAAAGATTGTTTACAACTGTGCGGTCAGATGATCAGAAATTGAACCAATTACCACTTTAAAAACTGCTGTCCAGTATATTTGCATACATTATCCTAGCCACTTGTATCTGCTTTAAATTGAGGCTTATTGGCACCACTCGAGGGCTGGGAATAAACACATGGCCATGTAATGCAGTCCAGTTGATGGGCAGTGTCTGGTGATCATCTGCCTGTGCAGTATTCTCTGGGTGTTTTTATCAGTTCAGATCAGATCAGATTCTGTTATTAGAA